TATAATTAAACAAGGTGCAATTAAAAATACTAATACTAAGACGTCCCGGAAATTAAAGGGCTGGGACGTCATTGTTGGAATAGAGAGCTCATTCTATTGTACAAACTGGAAAATTCATAACTTTGAGAATAGGAATATTCTACACAACTAACTCGGAAATTTCAATTTCATAATTCATTTACCTTGACAATGAAAAACCTTAATTACTCCCTAACTTCGTCCATTCTTGAATCTTAATAGCATGTCAGTCACAAGTCAATTTTCGTATTTTAAGACAAAATATAAGATTGAAAACAAAGGAACTTCATCCATTATTAACTCTCAATAGCATATGTCAGTCACAAGTCAATTTTCATATTTTAAGACAAAATATAAGATTAAAAACAAAGGTGGAAGTAGGTTTATTGCTAAATTTTATGTTGATCAATATATTTTATTTCAATTGTATCAGGGAATTCCACATTTTTTTTTTTTAACTATTATCTAATTTGGTTTTGTCTTTTAGTTTGATTCATAATAAAGTTAATTTGACGATCTAGTGAACAAAAATTATGTTAATACGTGTGCATCATCGAACACGCAACATAGATTAAACATGCCACTGACGATAGTAATTAAAATTTCCGTAATGCATCAATGAGTTTACAGTTCCATTTCACTTAGAAAGGGAACATAATAATTTTAAAAGGTGTCAAATTCTCTAATGACTATTTATTTACACAAAAATTTCAAGTAGGTCGTTAAACATTTTATGGTAACTTTTAAGATATTGAATTAATAATTAGAACTTGTGATTTGTGACTTGCACTATCTATTTCTGTTAGTAAAATTAGCGGTGAACAAAGCTCGATTTGGAACCCTTAATATGATTTCGCAATGTACTAGTCCCACATTTAAATTGATGCTTACATATTTGCCCATAATGAGGGAGCCAGCACCCGACGAGACTGCTCATACTAGTTCTGTTGAAATTTACAAGTAAATACAGTTTGAAGTTGGAACCCAGTTCTTTATTATAAATTTTTTGACGTATTAGAAGGCAAATGCTTTATGTATCTACTTATCTACTTCTGCTTGACTGAAAATACCGTGATTCATATTTTCTTTTTCTTCTTCCAATACCCACTTGAACTACTACTTTTAATTAGGGATTGCAATGAGGTGGGGCCCTCCGTCTCCACTCTGTTGGGCATTTTTGAGATCCAAGACTGTGGCGAGGTGAGGACTAAAATATGTTTATTTATCATCACGTTTATTTATTTTTTCAAGAAATTTGATATAAATTTTAAAGTATAAAATAATAAAAGATAAAAGGTCGGATAGGTTTGGGATCCGGTGAGGACCATGTCCCTCGCCTCCTCGCTGTTACATACCTAGCAGGGTCAGGGAGGAATATGTCATTTTCTCAGTCCTACTTTTAAAATTTTTAAGTTGTTTAAAAACAAAATGTTTATTTAGAGCTTGTTTGGGAGTGATTTTGAGAATTGATTTTTTGATCGTTAGGAGAAAAGTGGGGTCCACCTGTGAAAAGAAGAAGTCAAATATGACAGCTGAAATAGTAAAATAACGGTCTAAAAATCAATTTTTTAGGTGAAAAATCGGGCCCAAACAACCCCTTATTTTTATTTTAACTTTAGAGATGATATATCAGCCCACATTACTAAAAAAACATGATATATGCGCCACTAATTCTAAATACTTTAACAATTTTTTTAAGGAAATTTTGCTTGTATAGCACTAAATCGTGGGTCTCTCTCGTGTGAGAGAGTTGTTCCTCTTGCTCTACACAAGCAGGGTTCTTTTTTAACTAGCCATCAGGTAGGCGAAATCTGTCTAAAGGTTAGCTAGTCTATATAGCTATACCAATCAGCCTGCCACAACCTTCCTTGTCATAAACTGTCCAAGCCCCCGTTTGGCCTCCATTTTCAAGAAATAAAAATCCGTGGAATAGTAATTTTTTGAAAAGTGAGTGGTTGAAAAAATAAGAAAAGTTTTTGATTTACGTGTAATATTATTTTATGGAAGATTGTGTGGTTGAAAATATGATAGAGAAAAATTGAATGTAATGTAATGAAATTTAATGAGAGTCAAATGGGGATTAAATAGAAATTAATCCAAATTTATGTCCGATAATTAATTATTTAATTAACAAGTTAACTAATTATTCTAATTAAAAAGAGATTCATCATTATCAACTTGCAGTATAAGGCCAGAATATATAAAAAGAAAAATGTATTCCTTGACCTGCTTAAATACAAATTAGTGGGCATTACCGCTGCTCCCCGGAGCATAATTTAGTGGTGCAAATGATAGGAGTGAGGTAGTCTCAGCCTTGTTGGTAGCTGCAGTGTGAGGTTCGATTTCTGAAATATGGAATTGGACTCTTTGTAAGCACCAGTGTACGGACAAACTCTTGTTCCTTGTCTTGTTGGGGAACTCTCGCGATTTCCTTCCTCACGATGCTCTAGGACGGTGGGGGCCCTTAAGGTTGGGGTTCAACCTTTTTTTTTTTTTTTTTTTCTGAGGGCCTTACCGCTGCGGAAAAAACTCCAGTTTTCTAGTACTTTATTCATTTGGATTAAACAAAAACAAGAAGCTAATGATGATGCTCAAGAATTTACATTCAATTCACATAATTAACATAAACAATGTGGCAATTCTATTACCTTGGGCAGAAAATTCAGATTTTGGTGTTGATGGGGGGAACAAGGGATTTTGGGCAGAGATGAAATTATTTTAAGCAATTGTTATAAGGTAAGAATTTTGAGACCTGTTTAGTTTTGAATGGGCGGAATGAAATTTAAATTAATTAATTTTTACATTTTTTTAAGTGATCTGGCTATCTGAAACGATTCACAAAAATTGAAATCTAAACCAAACCGCTTTAATTACTATATAGTCTAGATGGCTACCTGAACTTAGCTGCCACACCCTTCCTGTCCTTGTCATAAACTGTCTAAATAGAAAATAATCCAAATTTATGTTCGATAATTAATTATTTAATTAACAAGATAACTAATTATTCTAATTAAAAAAAGATTCATCATTATCAACTTGCCGCATAAGGCCAGAAAATTTAAAAAGCGAAAGTTATTCCTTGACCAGCTTAAATACAAATTGGTGAGCCTTACCGCTGCAAAATAAATAAATAAATAAAATAAAAAAGAAAAAAAAAACCAGGTTTCTGCTACTTTATTCATTTGGATTAAAAAAAAATAACAAGCAAATGATGATGCTCAATAATTTAAATTCAATTCACATAATTAACATAAACGATGTGGCAATTCTATTACCTTAGGCAGAAAATTCAGATTCTAATGTTGATGCAGGGATAAAGGGATTTTGGGCGGAGATGAAATTATTGTATGAATTGTTATAAAGTAATAGTGCTGGGTCTAATATAAATATATATTTTCTTATATTGAGATGTGTTTAGTTTTAATTGGGTTGAATAAAATTAAAATTAATTGATTTTCACATTTTTGAAGCGATTTGCCCGTCTGAAATAGTTCACAAAAATTTAAAACTAAACTAAAACGTTTTTCGGTTCAACATTCAAAAAAGTGGTCTCTATTCAGTTCAACCTTTTTTTTTTTTTTTTAATTATAATCCCTATGTAAAACTAACTAAAAATTCATTTGCAAATTTTAACTCTTAACTATCATTTAAACTGATCGAACTTATTTATTTGAATGATTGTAATTGTAAGTTAAATATTCTTTTAATTGTTCGCTTTTATTTTAGTCCCTCCCCCCACCCCCTTCTCCCCTTTTCTTCTCGCAATGCCTCATAAAATGTAGTGATGAATTATGGATATTGATATGTTGAAATTATTCGGTTTTCCATTTGTCGAAATTAGTGTTTTATTTTATTTTATTTCTTTTCCATTTATTTTGGCAATTTTACATTTTCCTGTTGTTATATTTGTTCTTTTTTAATTTCCCTTTTCATAAACATAGTTTTAATGGAATGTAGTAAATTTGCAATTCAGGATGGGCAGGTAGGAGTAATAAGGCTCGACAGGTGCATTTTGAAAAAATCAAAGGAAAGACTCAAAAGACAAAAAAAATGTAGACATGTTAGAAACTTGAAAAAGACAGGTAGGAGTAATAAGCCGACTTGAAAGACTTTATATGGTAGTCTAATTAATATTGGAAAGATGGTCCCATTTACTATTCAACTATTGTTAGTTCGAGTATAATTTTACCAATTATAGTATTGAATTAATAATTTGAACTTTGCACCATCTATTTCTATTAGCAAAACTAATGAAAAATTCCTTTGCAAACTGTAACTCTTAACTATCAGTTATAGTTATTTACATAAATGGTTGTAATTTTAAGTTAAATATGCTTTTAGTTGTTCGTTTTAATTTTTGTCAATTATTTATTTATTTATTTTTCGTTTTTCACAATGCCTAATAAAATACAGTAATGCTATTTAGCCTTATTGGGGTTGTAATCCCAATTTAGGTAGCGCTAATGTGACATTAATTGATAGATAGAATTAAATAACTCATTTAATTTCATCTTTTATTCAACCAATTAGGTAGTGCCACCTACACTAGGGGTGTAACCCTTGCAACCTTAGTGAGACTACGTAACATTATTCTTAATATGGAAATCACTTTTATTTTAGTAGGTACAAATTATCAACTGAACTTGTCTTTAAAAGTTGATGAATAAATGGGTTTTGATGTGTGGAAATTGTTCTGTTAGTGATCCAATTAGTTTATTGCTAAATTGGGTGTCTATTTTTGGAAATAGATGTTTGTTTTATTAATATTAGGTATGCAAATTAGAATGGACGTGTTTTGAAAAAATCAAAGGAAACACTCGGAAGACTCAAAAAATGTAGACAAGCTAGAACTTGAAAACGACATAGAAAATATGTAAACTTATTCCCACCATAAAAAAAGAAGGAAGACTTTGAATAGTAGTATAATTGATATTGGGAAGATGGTCCCACTTCTCTTCAGTTATTGTTGGTGTTTACTTATTTATATGATTAGCTTTAACAATTGGTCATATCAAAATGGAGAAAGCTATAATCCTAACTATATCATTCTTCCTTTTGATATTCTCTTGTTTTGTGTCCCCAATTTCATCTGTTGACACCCTTAAACCTGGGGATAGTCTAAATTCATCTGCTTTCTTAGTTTCTGCTGACGGATTTTTCACATTAGGATTCTTTAAGCTCAAATTTTCCGGTGATAGTTATTTAGGAATAACGTATTGGAACGAAACAGGTGGGAACAATTTAGTATGGCTTTGTAACAGAGAAAACGGTATTAGTGATGATTCTGGTATTCTCACAATAAATAGTGCTGGAAAACTTATTATAACAAGCAACACATCAGATCCTACTGTGCTTTATGCAGGCCGAAATGGCAAAAATATAACAGCCACACTATTGAATTCGGGGAATTTCGTAGTGAGAGAGATGAATATAAACGATTCTTCGGATAGGGTGTTGTGGGAAAGCTTTGATTACCCAACTGATACTCTTTTTCCGGGGATGAAATTAGGTGTTAATCATAGGACTAGAAGAAATTGGCATCTTACATCACGGTTTGGCGTAGACAATCCCGCTTCAGGAGCTTTTACGTTGGAATGGGATCCAGGCACACGTATGTTGATTGTACGACGACGAGGGCTGATTTATTGGACCAGTGGCAACTTGAAAGACTATACTAATCAGAGCTTGAGATTGAATGTGAAGGAATTTGAGAATATACCTAAACCCAATTTTGAAGATTTCAATTACAATTTCACCAATGTTTCAAATGGTGCGGAGGATTACTTCAGCTACTCCCGTATAACATACCCCACAGCTATCCATGGGCCTCTTTCTGGATGGCAGCTGAGTTATAACGGGGATATATTTGACACTTATAATGGGACAATGATAGCAAAAGTGAGTCTTTGTTATGGTTACAACATTTACAAAGGCTGTGAATCATGGGAGCAGCCCATTTGCAGAAATCATAACGAGACATTTGTTTTGAAATCAGGGCATTTCGCTAATGGAAATGGGAGCGAGCCTGTTTCAGAATTTGTTTATGATTATAATCTTACTGAGAGTGACTGCAGAGAGAAGTGCTGGAAGGACTGTGAATGTGTAGGCTTTGCCTATGTCAGTGTTGAATATGTATGTACATTCTGGAAAGGGAAAAATTTGACTTTTGTACAGAGTTATGATGGTTCTGAACCTAAACAATTCATTCTTGTTCTAAAGGCTTCAGAGCCTTCGACCAAAAGTAAGTTCATATCACCAAATTAAGAAATTTTCAACATATGCACACATCCTTACTTCAATTCCTCTGTTTGGTGTTCATAATCCATTTGTTTTATTTAATAAACTTATTTTCATTCATTTTTGATTTTTTGCAAAAGAAATTTCTTCGGACTAAATATGTTGAAGATATATAAAGCACTATGCAGTTCAATAAATGTACTTCCCTTTTCTTCAATTCTTGACGTCCCATAGAGACATTTCTCTTTCAGCAATGTGTTTACTATCATCAAATTATAAATGACAGGATGGAAGTCATGGGAAATCATTACTTTGGTTATTTCAGTAGTTGCTCTTTTGTTGGGCTGTGTATGGTTCATCATCCGAAAAATTAAGCAAGGTATCTTTCTGATCACTTGTAGCTTTGAAAAACCTTCTTCATATTCCATACAAATAAAATACCCATAACAAAAATCTGCAAGCTGGAGAAGAGAAGATTATAAAGAAGGTTCTACGTGTTTCATATTTGATGTTATGTTGATATTTTTATGCGTACAATTTCACTTCAATAGAATGATTGGAAATATGATTACAAAAGACAGTAAGATTCATTTCAAGAGTTGTAGTTGCACAGTTGCACTGTCATTTTTTATGTAGTGAGTATTGTAATTGTTATAATATGTCGCTCATATAGAGTAGAACACATATTTATTGGAATAGATAGGCTGATGTTGGAACAGAGCAAAGTGAAGTGAGGAGAGTCAATATATAACAAGTGAAAGTGTTAAAACAATATCTCTACATGGTGTGTTTTTGTAAATATCACTGAGAATTTTTAGTATCTCCATTGCATGCTTAATTTGATATTTCTAGTTTTTCTAGATCTAATTCTTCTAATGATATTCATTGGCATTCTTATGTTGACGCTTTGGATGATCATCTCATAGGTAAAAGGAAGAAGGAAGAATTACGTGAACTAATGACCCTAGAGGGATATACTGAAACACATCCAGTTGAAAGTGATAGGGGACAGGGTCATCATCTTAGACTGTTTACGTATTCCTCTATCCTTAGAGCTACGGGCAACTTTTCGTCGACAAACAAACTGGGAGAGGGTGGTTTTGGCCCTGTTTATAAGGTAAATTTGAATTGAGAATATTATGTGTTGTTTGAATAGGATCAGCCCTTTGGAGCTTCAAATAGCAAAAATACTCTTATTGCCTTTTCTCTTTCTTAACCGTTGTCCTGAATCTTACTTTCTTAGGACACATCAATTTTATCCTATGTTTAGTTTGAGTTTCTAAACTATTTGTAAATGCTCAATTTTTTTTCTTTTATCCACACATTTTGAAAGACTCACAAGTACTACCTACATTTTCGACATTCATTTCTTTCTGCTTATGATTTAAATTGTTTATAAACACTTACCATACATGTTCAATCTGCAACTAATTGTTATTTTGATAAATATATTCGTGTTGCTTCAATATAAATATCGCATAGCCACTCCTATTGATAGCATCCACTAATTTAATAATAAATAAAG